GGGTGGGGTGGGGTGGGGGTGGGGGTTGGCTGGCAACTAGGGCGGTCTGTGGGTAAGGGATGAGAGGGAAAACTAAAGCCCAGGATTCAGGAGATGCGCTCCCAGACCCTTCCAGATCTGCCCTTTCTCCTTCCGAATGTGAGAAATGAGACAGGGTCAGCGGAAGGGACTAGTTCAATTAGCCGCCAAGGAGAATAGAAGATATCCAGCCGCCCCCTTTGACAGGCCGGGAGGGGCCCAGCTTACCAGAGTCGCTGCTGGTCGTGGGGGGTGTCTCTTCGTGGAGCGCCCGGGGCTCGGGGCTGGCCCGTGGGGAGGACTCCACGGAGGAGAGCAGAGAGTCCGAGGACGAGGAGAAGGCGGTGGAGTCCGGCGAGGCGCAGGCCTTGGGCGAGCTGCCGTCGTTCAGTGGGTAGGGGAAGACCACCGAGGGGTCGATGCACTCGGAGGCGGCAGCGCTCAGGTCTTGCAGGTAGAGACTGGAGGTGGAGCAGCCGCCGTGGCCGCGGGCGGGGCTCGGGCTGCCGCTGTCTTTGCGCGCAGCCTGATAGGAGGCCAGCTTCTCCGAGACCAGCTTGGCCGCGGCCGAGAAGCCGCTCCACATACAGTCCTGGATGATGATGTTTTTGATGAGGTTCTCGTCGTCCGGGTCGCAGATGAAGCTCTGGTTCACCATATCTCCCCCCAGCAGCTCGGTCACCATCTCCAACTGGTCGGCGGTGGAAAAGCTGCCGCCGCCGCCGCCGCCTCCTCCGGGGGAGAAGGACGCGAAGGCCAGGTTGTAGGAGGGCGAGCAGAGCCCGGAGCGGCGGCTTGGGGACAGGGGCGGGGTGGGCAGCAGCTCGAATTTCTTCCAGATATCCTCGCTGGGCGCCGGCGGCTGCAGCTCGCTCTGCTGCTGCTGCTGATAGAAGTTCTCCTCCTCGTCGAAGAAATACGGTTGCACTGAGTCATAGTCCAGGTCATAGTTCCTGTTGGCGAAGCTGACGTTGAGGGGCATCGCGGCAGCCTGCTGAAGAGCGCACACAAAGGGGGGAACCAGTCTTTAGTTAAGGGGGTCTTGGTTGGTGCCGAAACTTGGCGCAGTGCTCAATGCGCGCGACAATCCCGAACCACTCCCCTTTCAGTGCTATCCCCAAAAGGGGCCGGGTGACGGGGCCCCCCAAATCCCCACCCTCTCAGCCCTTAGTATCTCGGACACGCACTTGGTGACCGAGCCTGCACAGTGCTTGCTGACCTCCAGTTTCCCGGGATTTTGGGGTGCGAAGCCTGGGAGTTGGCCTGCAGCCGCCAAGAAATGAAAATCGGCCTTGGCCTCCTTACGAGGCCGGGAGAGGCGGCGCTGGGGAGGAATAAACCAAAAAACCAAACCCACTGCCGTTGAGTCGATTCCGACTCATAGCGACCTAATAGTAAAGAATAGAACTGCTCCATAGGGTTTCCAAGGCTGTAATCTTTAAGGAAGCAGACTGCCACATCTTTCTCCTGCGGAGCGCCCCTTTGGTTAGGAGCCCAGCGCTTAACCACTGCACCACCAGGGCTCTGCCAAATCCGAAAGCGCCACCTGGAGAAAGCTAGAGGTGCCGCAGCGCAGGCGGCAGCGCTTGGCCCCCTCCCGCCCGGCTCTCCGCGCCGCGCCCGTCCCCACTCGCGCCCTCGCCGAGCTTTTCCCCGCCGGCGCCGCCGCCCCGCGCCGCCTCTTCCATCCCCACCCCAGCGCGCCCCCTTTCTTCCCTAGCAGGCTTTTTTCCTTCTCTCCTAGGCTGGAGTGGCGAGCTCAGCCGCGGGCTTTAACACCTCTCCCCATAAATAAAAGGGGGTGTTAAATAACCGGGGCACCTCCCTTCACCACCCAATACGGCGACGCAACTGCGCCAGAGCCCCCGCTGCGACTCCGCGCCCCGAGCCAGGCGAATTCCCCCCAGCCCGCCGAGAGTAACAGCTGTTCAGGGAAAGCCCGGAGCCCCGCTCCTCGCCGCCACTCTGCATCTGAGGGTCGCGGGGCACCCATGGACGGCGGCGGGGTGCGGAGATTCGCCCCGGTTTTCACAAAGTCAACGATTCCAGGAGAGTCAAGACACATCCGTGCCTCAGCCTCCCCTTTTCCTCCCCAAACCCAAGTCCTAACACCTCTCGAGAGCAAGATAATTATTCTTATTATTCTTTTTTTTTTTTAAAAGCCAAATGCCAACTTCCTAAAAGGAGCAAGGGGCAAGTTGGAAGTCCCGAGGACACCAGCGGGAGGACGCGCCGCAGTGTTTGTCCCCGGCTGTCAGAAATGCGGATAGCCGAAATTTAAATGCCCTCCTGGAGGCTGGGGGAGAGTCAGCGGCGGCGGGGCTCTTTCGCTCACACATGCAATATGTAGTAAGCCTCACTCCAAGGAACTCAGGATGCAAAGAGCTTTCTGCCTACTGCCAAGCACAGACAAATCCCCCCTGTCCCCCCCCCCAAAAAAAAAGCAATGACTGCAATAAAGCAAGAACGCTTGCCCGGCTGGGGTCAGCGTTAACACACACAGGCAAAAAAAATCTCTCAAGGCTAGCTTCCGAAACGCACCCTGGTTTTCCCTGTGTCCCCCTCCCGCCTTGACAAGTCAACCTCTCCGATCCCGTGTTCGGGTTCGCACCCCCCCCCACCCCGGCTAGCCACAACTACTCTGAGAAAAGTGTCAATAGCGCAGGGATGGCAGAAAAAGACACCCGGATTCGGGCATTCGACTCATCGCGGCATGAAAGCGGTAGCGAAAATACATCCAAAGGCAAATCGATTTCAGTGCTTACCGGGTTTTCCACTCTTCGAAGGAAATCCAGCGTCCAGAATGCGGCGAGGAATGCCTTTCAGAGGCAGCCGGTTGTGGCCAGCTGCGGGGAAAAGTGTCTCCCCAAGCGGGCGGGCTCGCCTCCTCGCGCCGGGTGTCTGCGTCCTCGCCCGGGTATTGTAAGTTCCAGTGCAAAGTGCCCGCTCGCGGCAAGGCGCAAAGTTTCCCGGCTGCGGCGGGGGTGCACACCGCGGGTGGAGGACAGCGGTCAGGGTGGGTTGGGGTCGGCGGGGCCGGAGGCGAAGCCCCCTTTCACTCCGGATCTCCCTGCCCCGGGCGCCCGGAGCGCAGCTGTGCTGGTTCTGCTCGCTCGATTCTTGCACCTTCGCGGCCCTCCCGCTCGCTCCCTCAGCCTCTCGCTGGAATTACTACAGCGACACTCAGAAAACGCAGAGATAGTAGCTTTTATACGGCTCAGAAGATCCCTCCCTCCGGTCTTTCCCGCCAAGGCTCTGTAAAGCCCTGCCTTCTCGAGGCCGGGAGTGGAGTCAGGCGGCCGCCGGGGCGCGGCTGCAGCAGTGGCCTAGAAGAGCTCGGCTCGGGGGTCCTCGGCCGCCCGGACCCTCGCCTTATAAAGGGCCAGGGGGCGGGGATTCGCGGGAGAGGCTCTTTTTTCTCCTTTTCCCGGCGCCTTTGCTTTTAGATGCCGGGAGGGGCGCTTCGGGGAGGTAGGGCCGGGGGGAGGAGACTCACCGGCTCGCACTCCATTGCGCTCGGGTCTCGGAAGTAAACAGAGTAAGAGCGCATTATGAATTAATTGCTCGCGCCTACCATTTTCCTCTGCTCGGTTTCCAGCCCTCTCCCTTTCTGTGCTGTCCCTCTGGCGCATTACTGTTTGACAAACCGTGTACTTGTCTTACGTGCTTAAATAATCGCGGGCGGAACAGCTGAGCCCTGGAACACTTCGAATACACCCCGTACCCACCGCCACGCCGCACACGTCCCAGGCGCCCGGGCGGCCGCCTCCTTAAGGCCGGGCAAAGGGCAGCGTTTTGAAAATAAGTCCAGCAAGAAGGGGTGTTTATGCGCGCGCGCTTCGTGTGTAAGTGGAAAGTAGACGGGGATAAATAATATAGGGAAGAAAATGCCTGGTATTATGAAAATAACGCAGCAACGTATTGCCACGTATACTTGGAGAGCGCGTTATAACTATACACACCCTGTCCATTTGCTGGGGTGTAATGCATTATGCATTGTGTGGGCACAGCTATCTCGACTGGGCACCTTCCACCTATAATGACTCTCCCAATTTGCTGCCAAAGGGGCAGACCACCCCCTCGCCCCGCCCACGCGGGCTTGAGTGGGCACCCGCGTGGGAGGCGACTGCTCCCCCAGGACGCGCTAATCCCTGAAATCTTCCTAGGTGTTTCCGACCTGGACTAGGTGAGGAGCGCGGTTGAGTCTGCACCTCGGGGGACCGTCCCCCACCCGCTCTCTGCCAGTGTGCACCCCCGTCCCACCCCTGCGCCTCCCACACGAAGTTCCCAGTTCCGCAGCCAGGTTTCAGGAAGAGACAAATCCACTCTGCGCCCCGTGGCGCCGGTTTGCACCAGGTTTGGGCTCCCGGGTTTGGGAAATCAAAGGCGCTAGACAGGAGAATATTGCCGGGGTGGGGGGGTGGGGGCGCGAACCGCCGGACCCGACTTCCCGGAAGGGGAGAGGAGCCCAGGTGGCGAATATTGCCCGTTAACTCTTTCCTCCCCGGACAAAGCAAGCGTGCAATTCCTTGCTGGATCCTTTTCCCTCTTTATTATTGGAACAGTGATAATGCACAAAAATGCATCGATTCTGATCAAAGGAGAGGAGCGGAGTATTACTTCCTTGCCCTTTTTTTTTGGGGGGGAGGGGAGTCTTGGGCTCGTTAAAAACCAGTAGCGTTTCAGACATTAATTTCATCCTTCACTGAATACTTTTTTCTGAATACTGTAGTGAAAGTGCATTATATATAATCCGAATCCATGTACGCGTCGACCCAGCCTGTTGCCCAGCCCGACACATGATTTGTTGGCTTCCTGGATGAATCTATATTTCATATAGAATCTGCTATTTCGTATTATACCAGGGTATCAAAAACAATCAACCTTCCCATCCCTGGTCCCTTACCGAAACGTATTTTAAGTAAACTTTTTCACCCCATCCAAAAAAAGAAGAAAAAAAAAAATCCGGGGGGAGGGGAGACGTGTATAATGGGCATCTTCAGGATAATTTATTGCCCATTGAGTCTGCAGCTCAGCGCTCAATTGTTAAATGAGTAGTAGCTTCCCCCAAATCAGGCGCCTGGCCCTACTTAGCTTTAAGGATTGCAAATTACTCCAGCCTCCAGGCCTTTGCTGAAAACTCGGGAAGCGACCAATCCCTAGGCTTGGTTTTACTGCAAAGCGTTCTTCTCCCGCCTCTACCCCCGCCCCCGCCCCCTCCCCTGGCTGCACCCGCGCTCGGGTTTGCAAAGTAAAGTAAGTGTGCCCTCTACTGGCAGCTGCGATCATCGCATCCGGATGCCAACCGAGGGCGGGGGTCGGGCGGGGGCTGGGGCTTCCAGCCGGGCAAAGGAACGGGCGGCTCCTTAAAACGAGTTTTCAGCCACCTCTTTCAAGATTACTTCACGCCAACTGCAGAGGGGCGGGGGAAGATGAATTACTGGAGGAAAAAGTGGTTCAGAGGCGGCTATTCAACCGCATAAGCGGGGTGAAAATTAACCTGTCACAACTTATTGACGATGAACAGCACCCTATGGAGAAGCGATGGTATTTATGGGAAATATGAAATAATTAACGAGTACGCACATTTAAAATTTTCCAACAAAACCCTAAAACAGCAAAACAAGCTTTAACCCACAGGTCCTAGAAACACATCATCTTCTAACCACCAAGTTTTAAAGCAAGGTATTGGATATGGGGAGGGGGCAGAGGAGGGGAGGCACCGTGGGAGGTGGGGGAAGTTTGGTTTTGCTTACTACTATTATTTTTTTAAAACTTAAAATAAATTGGGCTGCTGAACAATAGCTAGATGTTTTGACAGTGAGCAGAGGCTTTTGAGATCCCGTTGAAAAAAGTATAAAGAACCATATTATAAAAAATGTTAATAGCAAAGACGACTGTGCTACAAAGGTCGAAGTACCAGTAGATGTGATGGGCTTTCCCTAGCATATTTGGGTTGTGAATGTTGCAGGGTTTTATTGCGGGAAGAGGCTTGAGGGCGCCTCATCACTGAGCTCTGTCCTCAGCAAGTGTGAAAGATGACCCTTCCTGGAAGGTGCCTCTCAAGGTGATTTGCCAGGAATCTGGCACTTGGGCGTTGCCCTGCTGGAGGCTAAATGGCTGTTGGCCGCAAGGGGAAAGGGGGCAGGGGTGGTTCGGAGTGGCCTGTGGGAGATCTGAGTTCGATTCCCGGCCAATGCACCTCCAGGGAAGCCACCATCCATCTGTCAGTGGAGGCTTGCCTGTTGCTTATGATGTTGAACAGGTTTTAGCAGAGCTTCCAGATTAAGATGGACTAGGAATAAAGGCCTGGCAATTTATTTCTGAAAAAATTAGCCAGTGAAAACCCTATGGATCACCACAGTCTGATCCGAAAGCTATTACAGGGACCAGGCAGCATTCCATTGCGCATGTAGTTGCCATGAGTCAGCAGACTCCGTGGCAGCTAACAATAATACAGTGGGGAAAAAGAAATGAGCGTAAATTTAGCTTGACCTTGGAGGGTAATTTTTGAAAGTTGTTAACGATGGCAAATGGACCCCATTTTAAGGTCTGACTCCTAGATTATGCGAGTTCAGGGTGTCCTGGTTGTTGTTACTTGCTGTGGGGTTGATTGCGATTCATGGCCACTCCATGGGTGCAGAGGAGAACCGTTCCATAGGGTTTTCCAAGCTATGACCTTTCAGAAGCAGATAGCCAGGCCTGTCTTCCGAGGCGCCTCTGAGTGGATTGGAACCTCCAACGGTTTGCGCCACCCACGGACTCCTTAGGGCATGTGCACCCCGAGGCAAATATATTGCGTTTGGGTTCAGGACTCACCCTCACTCGCGCCCAGCTGGTGACAGCACCTGCGCTGTTACTTTCAAGTCACAATTTGGAGTTGTTTTGCTCCTGCTGACAATCCTGTTGGGTAGGGGCCGTCCCCATTTTGCAGACGAGGACTGAAAAATGTCAGATCTCGGTGAACTTAAAGGACTCAACTGTCTTTTAGTAACTTTTAAGAAACTTTTGACCTAGAATTCCCATCTAGCGGCTTGTGAAATGGCTAAGGAGATTAAAACTAAGAACAACATTGACTATTACCTAGGGGACACATGTTCATTGTCAACAACAGCTACAACAAAAAGTAAAATAGAAAAAAAATTCAAACAGTTTCTGATGCCAATCACCTAGAGATAGCTACTGGAGCATTTCTTTTAAGAAGACTTTTTCAGGAACATCGTTGGTCTTTGTACTCCGAATCTTCCCTTTGGAAGACAGTGGAAGGTGTCTCTTTTTTTTAAAATTAATATTTTATTGTGTTTAAGGTGAAATTTTACACAGTACATTGGGTTCCCATTGAACTATTTCTACACAACTTATTCAGTGATGTTGGTTACATTTTTCACAATGTGTCATCATTCTTGTTCGTTCCATTCTGGTTGTACCATTTCCAGTGCTCTAGTTTCCCTGCCCCCTTACCTCCTCATCTTCCCTTTAGAGTCATTGTTGACCATTTGATCTTCTATAGGTGATTTTTCTTAAAGAGGAAGGTTTTGTTTCACCGACATCCTGGTTCTCCTTTGTCTGGGTGCTGCCGAGGAGTGGGTCCGGGCATTTTACGTAGAGAGCCCTGCTGTCATCCACAGGGTTAGGACTCCAGCTAAACAGTCTGACAACATGGCCACGTGGAAAAGAACACATTGTCACTTCAGGGGACGTTCTTTCCTCCAGGATGGTGAAATAAGAATCATGATTCTAATAACCACAAATTCTCATAATAGTAGTCAGGCTGCGTTTAGACTCAGGGAAAAAAAGTGCAGAAAGAATGAGCAATTTGACCAAACTTTCTTCTTTCTTCCCAGAGACACAAAAGGAGAAATTCACAAGGTGTAACTTTCTTAAAATAACACCAGTTTCTCCCCCCACCCACCTTATTTGAATATCTCTCCTCTCACCCCTCATAAAGTTTCCTATTGAGCTGATAAGAGCAGTTACTAAGGTGGAGAGAAATAGGACCCGAGAGATAAACAGCTGGCTCCAAGTTGGGGTGACAGAGAAGACTCCTTTGGATGGTTGGGCTGTAATTCCATAGATCCCTTCAAATCATGGAAGACTGTCAGGGATGCTCAAACTAATGGGAACGGGGCCGGGGAAGAGAATGATCAGTTTGTGTGGCCAGCTGAATGATCGTTTTGAAAGAATGGCTGTTAGATGAGA